AACACGGCCTGAGAAAAGGAGCGGAACGGAGGTGAAACAGCCCCAAAATGGAGCTGAAATAGACTAAAAGTGAGTTAAAACAGCGCGAAACAGCGGAACGGAGCTGAAACAGCCCCAAAACAGCCGAACAGGCCTGAAACAGCCCAAAACAGAGCCCAAAAAACCCCAAAACAGAGCAAAACAGCCCCGAAACAGAGCCCAAAAGCCTCAAAACAGAACAAAACAGCCCCAAAACAGAGCAAAACAGGCCAAAATCAGAAGTGAACAGAAAGGCCTCAACAGGCCTGAAAACAAATCCAAACAGAGTTGAACAAGCCTAAAACCGCCCCAAAACTGCACCAAAACAGCCCCAAACCACCCCAAATCTCCCTAAAACCGCCCCAAAACTGCCCCAAAACAGCCCCAAAAGAGGCCAAAATCAGAAAAAAAACAACCCAAAATCAGAACCAGAAGGAGGGCCAAAGTCAGGGCCAAAACAGGCCCAAAATAAGCCCAAAATAGCAAAATTAGAGCAAAATCAGAGCAAAATCAGAGCCAAACAGGCCTAAACCAGCCCCAAACCTCCCAAAGAGCCCCAAAACCATCCCAAAACTGCCAAAACTGCCCCAAAATCCCCAAACCTGCCCCAAACCGCCCCAAATCCACCCAAAACTGACCCAAAACCCCACAAATCTCCCTAAAACCACCCCAAAACCACCAAAGCAACCCCAAAACTGCCCCAAACCAGCCCCAAACCGCCCCAAATCCACCCAAAACTGCCCCAAAACCCCACAAATCTCCCTAAAACCGCCCCAAAACTGCTCCAAACCTCGCAAACAGCCCCAAATCCACCCAAAACAGCCCAAAACTGCCCCAAAACTGCTCCAAACCTCCCTAACAGCCCCAAAACCATCCCAAAACAGCCCCAAATCCACCCCAAACTGCCCCAAATCCACCCAAACTGCCCCAAATCCACCCAAACTGTCCCAAATCCACCCAAAACAGCCCAAAACTGCCCCAAAACTGCTCCAAACCTCCCAAACAGCCCCAAAACCATCCCAAAACAGCCCCAAATCCACCCCAAACTGCCCCAAATCCACCCAAACTGTCCCAAATCCACCCAAAACAGCCCCAAATCCACCCAAAACAGCCCAAAACTGCCCCAAAACTGCTCCAAACCTCCCAAACAGCCCCAAAACCATCCCAAAACAGCCCCAAATCCACCCAAAACAGCCCCAAATCCACCCCAAATTGCCCCAAATCCACCCAAAACAGCCCAAAACTGCCCCAAAACTGCTCCAAACCTCCCAAACAGCCCCAAAACCATCCCAAAACAGCCCCAAATCCACCCAAAACAGCCCCAAATCCACCCAAAACAGCCCAAAACTGCCCCAAAACAGCCCCAAATCCACCCAAACTGCCCCAAATCCACCCCAAACTGCCCCAAACCCCCGGGGTCAGGCACACGTATTTGTGTATTTTATTTTATTTTATTTTATTTTATTTTATTTTATTTTATTTTATTTTATTTTATTTTATTTATGTATTTATTTATTTACACGGCAGTGGGTGCTGGCCACGCCCCCTTCTCTGTCGCGACAGGCGACAGGCGACAGAGCGGGGGAGGGGCGGGGGCTGTTCCGGGGGGGGAATCGGGGTCACCCCAGGTGTCACCTGTCCCTTCTTGGTGTCACCTGTCCGTTCTCGGTGTCACCTGTGTCACCTCCTGGTGTCACCTGTGTCACCCTGGTGTCACCTGTCCCCTCCTGGTGTCACCTGTGTCACCTCCTGGTGTCACCTGTCCCCTCCTGGTGTCACCTGTGTCACCTCCTGGTGTCACCCGTGTCACCTCCTGGTGTCACCTGTGTCACCCTGGTGTCACCTGTCCCCTCCTGGTGTCCCCTCAGGTGTCACCTGTGTCACCCTGGTGTCACCTGTCTCCTCCTGGTGTCACCTGTCCTCTCCTGGTGTCACCTGTCCTCTCCTGGTGTCACCTGTGTCACCTCCTGGTGTCACCTGTCCCCTCCTGGTGTCACCTGTGTCACCCTGGTGTCACCCCAGGTGTCACCTGTCCCCTCGTGGTGTCACCTGTCCCCTCCTGGTGTCCCCTCAGGTGTCACCTGTGTCACCCAGGTGTCACCCAGGTGTCCCCGGTGTCCCCAGCCCCGGTGAAGGTGCTGTGGAGTGGGGGGAGGGGGGGGAGGGGGAAGCCCCAAATTCCCAAATTTCCGCTCATCCCGGAGAATCCCAAAACCCCCGGGACCCCCCGGGACCCCCCGGGATCCCCCC